GATATGTCGATCGAAAGTCTGTCGTAAATAGATACCGTTAAAAATCAGTCCCAGTTCGGATTCAAATTGGTTATGGTCTCAAATACTAATCACGTAACCAGTTCCGGTCAAAAAAGGTAGCCTGATCTTAACCGGTCTCGGGTCGGGTTAGGCCGGGCTCAAATCGGTCCTGTACTGAAACAGTAACAATCCGGACCAGTCTAGGTCCCGCCGAAAATATTAAGGCCCGGTTAAGAGTACTTGTAACCGGTTACGATAACCGGTCCCGTTCTCGGGCCGGACCAAAACCGGTCCTATATTAAAAAACATTTTCTTTTTATATATTTTTTAAAAATTTCTTTTTGAGAATTTTTTTAAAAAATACTTTAATGTTATCTTAATACACTTTAAAATATCTAATTAGGTCAATCAAATACATTTAAAAAATATGTTTTATTGTAGTTTTATAATTAGTTTTCAATCAAATACGCTTAAAAATTACGTTTTATTATAGTTTTATAATTGGTTTTCAATCAAATACACTTAAAAATATGCTTATTGTAAATTTGTAATTTGATTTTCAATCAAGTACACTTAAACGCTAGAAATACATTTTTTTGAAAAAAATTTGGCCAGTCCTAGGCCGGACCTTTTTTTTATGAAAACCATAATTGGTCCTTAACCGACGGTCCCAAACCGGTCCCGGGCCGGTCCTAAGTCAGTCTCGGTCCTCCGCCGGTCCCGGGCCTGGTCGGGCCCATTTGGTCATCTCTAGCTAAGATACCTTGTAACTGTTTATGAAAATTGATCCTAGTCTCGGGCTGGGCCCAAACAGATCCTATATATGTTCTTTCTTGAAATTTTTGTAAAGAGTACAGAAAATTTATTTTAATACATTTGAGAATATGTAATTGGTTAATGAAATACATTTAAAAAATACATTTTATTATAATTTTGTAATTTGATTTCAATCAAATACACGAATTATAGCGAAAATTGTGAATACTTTGCGTTTTTGAGTGGGTATTTTTTTCCCATACACCATAACGGTCAAAATGGATAAAGAAACAGTCATATAGACGTTTTGGAATGGCTATAAAAAGGTTATTTTTTGAAAAATCGGGCCGGGCCCATAACCGGTCCCAATCGGTTCCGGGATGGGCCATTTGGCCATCTCTAATCGTAAACATGAAGTATCCGGCATACTCGTATGTTGTACCAACGAATTTTTATACAGTTTACCGGTGGATGTTCGACAGCCCTTCATTTAAATTAACTTTTTTAACCTGGAACCGTTTCACAGTCCTACGATGTTGGAAGAAGAATTATCGACAAAAATATATTTTTAATTTCTTTATTTATAGTTAAGTTGCAATAAGACTCGACGGTTTGTAATATATTCTAATAAGCCCAGATGGGTTTTAATATTTACAAAGTATATGTATAGATAGTGTACTATGTCAGTGTAAATTTTTCATTTTGAGAAGAAACGTCCTCGATAACCTATCAGAAAGTACATCCGATGATAATTCATCAATAACTTTTCGATCGTTAGTTTGTCAATATTCCACAGTTCTTCACTCAAATATCTAAAGATACAGTATTGTTTAGTGACATCCTATCGACTGACAAGATCATCACAAAATTTTGCAAAAACCGTCGGTGAAAAGGGTTTGATTACATACAATTGTAAAGTTAGAACGTAAATATGATATTAGTTTTAGGAACATCAATAACATGTATTTTATGTAATAAGTTTTGTTTTGTATAATTTATATAAATAATAAATAATAATAATAATAATAATAATAATAATAATAATAATAAAATGTATATAATTAACCACAATGGTGGTGCATGATTGGTTTGAGCTTGGCTCCAAAGGTCAAATGTAACAGGAGGTCTCAGGTTCAAATCCAAGGATAAATAAAAATCTTTTTGGGGCCACGGATGTTTAAATGCGGTAACTCCAGACTATCTACAAAACAGGTAGTCGTTCTGGGATTAGTCGGCTCGTATAGCGGATTGGATATCAGATAAATTTGATGAGAATATCTATAAATAAATGATATAAATTGTCAATAATAGAGCAAAAGGGAAACGATAAAAAGATTGCATCATCAAAGGGAAAAAGCAACATAAAAATTGTAAGGCGAAAAGGAAGTGATTTATGAAAAGGGCCCATTTATTTAGGTATTCTTAGTGCGACCACAATTGAAAACAACAATAACAAATTGATATATTGAATATTATTAATAATTTACAATAAATTAAATACAAAATATCATTGCATTAATTCTCATATATTGATTATATATTAGAAGGGTATTCGTGTAATACAGTGAGATATATATTGATCTTAATGTTTTATTTTATTCATTTTCTCGGTTGATATAATACGGTTTTATGTAGTTTTTAGAAAACGATAATAATTTTATGTTTGAATGAAATATAAATTTGAAAAAAAAATATCGATATTAGTATTAAATTAATTATTTAAAAATTTTCATTTTCCATGTAATTACTTTAATTTATTTATTTATTATAATTTAGTTTAGATTTAATAACAAAGTAATTTATTTTTGTTTAATAATATAATTTTTATAAAAATAAAAATTAAGTATTCTGTTAAAACTCAATAATTATCTTAATTATATTTTAATTTTGTATCTTTAAAATGAGACGTTTATCTTGTATTTAATTATGTTTATCTGCAATTAGTTATACGAATTCAAATATAGAGTTTTAATAAGTTGTATTTACGCACATTTTACTTGTAATATTAAATTTTAAGTAATATGCATCAATAAATAATGTTTCATGCATAAAAAATGGTTTTTAAAAGTTTTTGTGAAATATTTTATAATATTGTGTATATATATATATATATATATATATATATATATATATAGGGTTGGTTCACGTAAGACCAATGGTTTTTCGTGAGACCCGTAAGATCAATTTATGTTCATCAATTTTATAATCTAATGATCCAATGGTTAAAATTTAGCATTAAACTTTAAACTTGTAGGGGTATTTTTGACTTATATATTTTTTCTTTCTTTAACCTATATATATATATCTAATCAAAGGGTTAAGAATTGGTCTTACGGGTCTCACGAAAAACCCTTGGTCTCACATGATCCCAAATATATATATATATATATATATATATCCTATTTTAGAGGAGAGTTTAGCATAGTTATTGGACCAGAATTTTCTCAAATCTCCAAAATTTCTAAATAGCATAGCTATTGAAAATTTTCTTATATTATGGTAATTGTACATGTTGCAGGTCTTTTGACCAATAACTGAATTATGTAGATCATTAATGACGGTTAAGCTTATGTTTGACAAATGAGTTGGTACATTAGTTGTTGATTAATTGTTATTTGATAAACTAATCACGTTTAAAAAAAGTTAAATAATGGTATAAAATGACTGAAAAATAAAATATAAGAGACATTTATGTAAAATATAAAAGAGCATAAGCTAATTATGGCTCATAAAATAGAACTTTTTCAATAAGATTAAAAATTAAGCTAGTTTATGACTATCTAAACATTGCTTAATTAAGGTGGCGTTTGATTCAGAAAATGAAATATGTTGAAATTTGATTTGAATGAATTGAAATGGAATTTAATCAGGTTTAACTGACAGAATTTGTAATAAAATTTGTCAAAAGATTTGAAATTTGTTTGTTTAGTTCGCTAAATACATTTCATAATTACTAGAAGAGTACTCGCACAATGCAGAGAAATACATCTCAATTTTAATGTTTCATTTTTTTCTTTGTCTCGATCAATGTTATAAAAAATTGAAAAAAAAATATTGATATTAGTACCAAAATGACTTTAAAATTTATCTTTTTTTGTGTATTTCTTTAATTTATTTTTTTATTTAATAATATAATTTTTTATAAATATAATAATAAAATATTTTGTTACAACTCAATGATTATCTTAATTATATTTTAATTTTTTTATTTAAAATGAGATGTTTATCCTCTATTTGATTATTTTTATCTGCAGTTAGTTATACGAATTCAAATATGAAGCTTTAATAAGTTGTACCTACGCAAAATTTACTAGTAATCTTGATTTTTAAATAATATGTATCAATAAACAGTACTTCATGCATAAAAAATGGTTTTTAAGAGTTTTTGTCAAATGTTTTATAATATAGTATAAATAATAAAATAGTGATAAATTGTCAAAATACTCCTCATGGTATTTTTCATACTTCATTTAATAATTAATAAATATTATATAATGATTAAATTAATAATATTAATTGGTGATGGTAGTGCCGATGGCAAAGACGATGGTGTTGGTAGTGGTGACAGTGATGTTGTGGCGGCAAAGACGATGGTGTTGGTAGTGGTAACAGTGATACTGGTAGTGGTAATGGCGTTGGCAACCAAACAAATGATATTTATATCTGATTATCATCTTCTTCTTTTTTAATTTTAAAATAACATAATAAGTATAGTTATTTAAATCATTAAATTGTTATATAAATTATGAACATTCCTATTATCAATTCTAAAGAGTTTTTTTTATTAACCTGGATATCCAACACGATATGAAAGCCAACTAATCTCAGGGCGACCACTTGCTTTGCTGGTAGCTCGGAGTCATCACATCTGAACCTGAGACATCCAAACACTTTTAGCTTTTGAAGCTCAAATTCAAACCAATCAGATATCATCCTTATGATTAGGTTTTCTTTAAGTAGGGCTCTAAAACATCGTCTACAAGAAGATGCGATAAGAAGTATATTCAACTATTAAAAAAAAATAAGTGTAAGTTTTACTTGAATATTTTTTTTGCTAAAAATAGGAATAGTTTATAAAAGAAAATATAGGGGAAAGGTAAACCATGTGGCTGATAAGATTTTGAAAATTTTCCACCGGATTGATCTGGGCCGTTGAATGTAGCAAGTGAAGGTCTATAAGACCACCTCCCTATTCTACTCTTGTTTTGTCCATCTCACACACAACCCTCCTCAACTATTTGTCTCTTACAATCTTCAAATCTCTCTCCCAATCTCTCTCCCCATCTCTCTCCCAATTCATAAAAATGGAGTCATTCAACACATCCAAGAAGGTGGTTCATCTCTCTCTCTTTCTCTCCCTCAAATCATCTTTTCTACTGTCTGTTTCCATAAAAACAATAACGATTTTTTATACTAAGTTGCCGAGTAAACCGTAGCCGTTGATTCATAATCTCGTTTGCAACTTTTCGAGTTGAAATTGGATGGAAATTGGATCTTGACTACGTTTTACAGCTCGGGTGGCTAAAAACTACATCTCTCGGTTTATCGTCTTAACTTGTGTGCCCATTGTTTAAAATCGGTTTTAGTTCATAACATTCTTTTATTTTATGATTTCCAAGGATAATTTACATCTTATTCATTAATCACACATTACGACTCACACCCAAAAACAATTTTCACTTAAACGATATAATCGTTAAATAAATTCGAGTCTTTCTCAAAAAAAATCAACGGAATTGTTTACTTTTTTATTTGTCATTTAAAAAATAACCCAAAAATGGTTCCGATCTCCTCAACCATGCATTGAGTATCATATGACACGTGCATTCTCTTCATTTAACTCAACAACAAACACATCACATGTAAATTATATGACACATTTTTCGAATAGATAATTACTGTAAATTATCTGTTTCGTTTTTATTTTTTACGTTTCGAAAAAACACACAGGATTCTCCGTATCCAGATAACCGATTGTATATGTATACGATTCGAACCCGTAACTTTTGATAATTTAAATGATGTTTTCGAAATTAAAAATGTAATATAAAATGAATATATATTAATTAATTAATTAATTAAATGTATTTAATAAAATAAATGGCAGGTGAAGTGTTTTAATGAAGACGAAGAAGGGACAAGCACCCTGGATGGAACTGTTGATTTCCATGGCCGACCAGCTGTGAAAGCAAAAACTGGGCGATGGACAGCTGGCACTATCATCCTCGGTAAACCACTTTTTTTTTAATTTTTTTTTTGGCTAAAAAACAAATTTTAATTTAAGTAAAAATAAAAATAAAAAAATAGAAAATCTTGATATCATGCTTTGCTTATCTTCATACGTATATCTTCAACTGTACATTGGATAAGGCAAGTTCGTTATCCATGTGTGTCACCATACATGTATCATGTGTGTATACATACATGAATGTCACCTTAATTTTTATTTACGGGGCTTGGGAAAGAATTTGTAATCGTCTGAATGAATGAATTTTTATAATTTGTATAATTAATAAAATAAACGGTTTAAGTTTAAATATGACTGATTTCGTAATCATGGATTGAGTTTTAGCAAAACGTGATTGGTTTATTTCGTTTTTTTTAATTTGGACCGTATAAATATAAATATGAAATTAAAGATGCTAAAAACAAAATTATAAAAGTTTGGAATGGTGGAGGTTGATTCTATCTCTATACATTTGATAGCTGTGTGTGTGGATGTATTTTTATTTAATTATTATTTATGGGAAAATTGCATTTTAATTAAACAATTAATGACATAATAATTGTGATGTATCGCGTGTATCTTGAAAATGACAACCATTTTTGTACTTTTTTTAAGAAAAGCAGAGCACTTTTTTAATATTGAAAACACAATTTTTGTATGATAAGCTTTCAATCGAATTTAGTGTTGCTTATTTATTACAAGGAATATTACTTGATTTTCGTAATTAAAAAAAAATTGTAAATATTTTAATTTTATTAAATATTTTTATTAAATTATGAAAAGAAAATAATGAGAGGAGTGTAAAAAGGGGTTGAGTGATGAGTTGAGACAGTGGTGAAATATATTTACAGCTGTCACTATTTTGGTTCCATCCTGATGTGGGGTTTGTAGGCAAATAGCTTTTAGTTTTTGGGAATAGTTCTTACCACATCAGATTATATATGCATATATGTGTGTGTATAGTATATATGCATACATATACATATATATATATATATGTATATATATGTATGCATATATAAGTAGAGGTTGGTTATTATACAACCCTTGACATTTGTGCAACCAATACAACCCAATCTCAACCGTCCATTTCATTTGATGAATATGTGATTTCATAGAAGTTTTGATTGTTTCTTAATATAAAGTATTAATCATAATTAATGAACTCTATTCATATTCCATAAATATTCAAATCATAATAAATGAACTTCCATCATTTCTATAAATATCTCAATTAATTGGGTTGCAAGGGTTGTACAAATACACAAGGTTGTAAAAGAAATATACCCTATATAAGTATGTATATGTATATATATATATATGTGTGTGTTTATGTATGTGTATATATATGTATATATATATGTGTATGTATATGTATATATATGTGTATGCATGCATGTATGTATCTATCTATATGTGTGTATATATATATATATGTATGTATGTGTGTATATATATATGTATGTATATCTCACATGAGAGAAATGAGAGTGTTTATATATATATATACCGGTAAAAAATGATATCTTTTTAACGTGAATATCATATATGTTTTATGATAAGGTTAAACGTTATATAAGATGAATTTTACATATGTTCACATAAAAAGGTAATCTTTTATATTGTAAAATATAAGAAGCAGTTGTTTTAATGAAAAAAAACTTAGGGCCCGTTTACCAAATTGCTTACTCGGTAAGCGTTTACCGATAGAAGTCAACACTATGATTTATTTTGATGCGCAAGATTTTAGTACATCAAAACATATCGAATGTAACAACTTAATGGGTAAGAGTCGTCATCCTCACTATTAATTTTATCTTTACATACATAAAAATCAAGATTTATATTTTACATTTTTAATATACAATTTAACACGATTTTAATATTTAAAAAATTGAATATTACAATAAAAAGGGTTCTTATCTATCGGAAACTCTCTAAAAAGTCAGTTATGTATGTATGTATGTATGTATGTATGTATGTATGTATGTATGTATGTATGTATGTATGTATAAGATGGATAAAGTAAAGTATAGATATGAGATGGTAGTATAGTATGTGTGTATGTATATATATAGGATTGAGGGGTTGAAAAGCATGCAAAAAGAGTAATGGATGAGACGTGGGGGACACGCGATAGGTGAATTCCTTGCATGACGAAAGCTGATTAGGCAACGTGGCAGCTTACTAACACTTTTGAGTGGTCATCATTCCAACTCACCAGCCAACTCCCAATGCCCAAAATTAGACTCATATTTTCTTTCTTTTCACCTCACTAACTAACGGTAAATATTTATTCAATTCTTTTTTTTTTACTTTTTTTTTTACCTCATTCGTTAACAGAAATCAACCTTTTAATATTTTGATTTTGATTTTGGATTAAGTTGTTATTGACAGTTGATGAATGGTTTGATGTAGAATGATTAAGTGGTCAGAATGATTAAGAGATTCTCATGACATAGTACAAAATGAAATATAATTGTTTGATAATTGTTTACAATAAAATTAGAGAACTAAATGGTTAAAGGAGGCTTAGGATACAAATATCCGAAAAAGTAATCAGTACGCTAGTTAATATATGACTATTCATAGGTTTGTCACCTCTTGTTCGATGCGACGTGGAATGTTCAAGATGAAGTACTATTATGACACTCAAATGTTGAGAACGTAAATAAAATTATCTGATGATTTTAGTATACGTTTCATAATATAAATACGTAAACTATTATGACACTCAAATGTTGTATCCATGTGATTTTCAAAGCTTCAAAAACACGTTGTTGTCATCATATACGTACATTATTAAACTTGAAATTCCTCATCTATTTGTTAACGATCACTAGTGATAATAGATCAGATTGATTCGGTTTTTAATCATTTAAACAAATACAACTAAAATATTGAAAAGAAACAATGCCCAACTCTCATTGTGTAAAGAGATTGATGTAACTTGCACCAATAATTGTATCGAGTTTTGGAAGTATACACCACAAACGTACAGTATCACACATGTATTGCGTTGCATATACGTCTGGGGGGTGTTTTGGGTTGCTTATAAGAACAACTTATTGACTTATTCCGATGTGGCATCGGTAATAAGCACTTTTGAGTGTTTGGATAAACAACTTATACTGGTGTCAAACCGGTAATAAGAAGTTTTTTTGAAGTTAAACCCTTATGACTTATCTGTTTATTGGAGTTTGCTTGTACAAATGAAAAAAAAAATACTCAAAATAACGAGGGTGCAACTGTTTTTCGAGCGTGTCGTATATGTGTGTAGGTAAAACATAGTATCAAACCAAATAAATCCAGTAAATCTGATATAGACTAGGGTCTGAAGGTGGGATGTACACGGATATTTGTTTACGTGGGTTCTAACTTTATACATGTTTTTGTTTGAACAGTGAATCAAGGGCTGGCTACTTTAGCCTTTTTTGGAGTTGGGGTGAACCTGGTGCTTTATCTAACCAGGGTTCTACAACAGGGGAATGCTGAGGCTGCTAACAATGTTAGCAAATGGACCGGAACCGTCTATATTTTCTCGCTCGTCGGTGCTTTTCTCAGTGATTCGTACTGGGGTAGATACAAAACTTGTGCCATATTTCAGGCCATCTTTGTCTTGGTAAGTTCATCCTACGTTGTGATCAAAACTACAACAAAATTGGTTTTATAAGACGCAAAATATGTCTGAATGTTCTAATAGACTGTTTTATAGGACTCTGAGTTTATGACTAAACAATTATGCGTCGTATTACAGGGCTTAGGAGGGTTGTCAGTGGCATCAAGCATGTTCTTGATCACCCCTAAAGGTTGTGGCAATCGGACAATTCCATGCAGTATCCACTCGAACTGGGAGATCGGGTTGTTTTATATCTCGATATACATGATTGCGCTAGGATATGGAGGGTACCAACCAAATATCGCGACATTTGGAGCCGACCAGTTTGATGAAGAAGATATTAAAGAGGGGCATTCAAAGGTGGCTTTCTTCAGTTACTTCTATCTTGCTCTCAACCTTGGTTCGCTTTTCTCGAATACGATCTTGAGCTATTTTGAGGATGAAGGAATGTGGACCTTGGGGTTTTGGTTATCGACTGGCTCGGCGTGTATGGGACTCGCCTTATTTCTCGGTGGGACCGTAAGGTACAGACATTTCAAGCCAAGTGGAAACCCTCTAAACAGGTTTTGTCAAGTGTTTGTGGCTGCATCAAAAAAGTGGAGGGTTCAGCTGCCACAAGGTGAAGAAGTTTTGTTTGAAGATGAGAAGGATAGTTCTCCAAGTACTGGGAGGAAGATCCTACATACCCATGAATTCAAGTAAGCATTACATCATTTCAATGCGATAAAATCGGATTAATAGTACGTCAAATATATCTAAATGTCCTAATAGAACGGTTTATAAGACGTTTTGGGCGTCCTAACAAGTTCTTTAGGACACTTTATGACACTATTTTGAAAAAATATCTTATAGAACTTGTTAGGATACCCAAATACATCTTAACATCCTATTGTAACACTTTTACATAAGATGCACAATTGTTTGGTTCTATAAATTTAAGTTCAATAAGGCAATCTATTAAGACATTTAGACATATTGGACGTCCTAACAAAGCCAAGTTTGTTGTAGTGTTTTATACCCAGTAACTATATGATCATTTCAATCTGATATTATCATATAATTTGCAGGTTTTTGGACAAAGCAGCATTCATTACCTCAAGGGATTTCAAGGACCCAAAACAAGGAACTCACAACCCATGGACTTTATGTCCAGTTTCACAGGTTGAAGAGGTGAAATGCATATTAAGGTTGCTTCCCATTTGGCTATGCACCATAATCTATTCAGTTGTATTCACACAAATGGCGTCTCTATTCGTCGAGCAAGGTGCAGCCATGAAAAGCACGATCTCCAGCTTCCAAATTCCGGCATCTAGCATGTCGAGCTTTGACATCTTAAGTGTTGCACTCTTCATTTTCCTTTATCGAAGAGTAATCAGTCCTATTGTGCTCATGTTTAAGAAGAAAGACTCAAAAGGATTAACCGAGCTTCAAAGAATGGGAATCGGGCTCATTATCGCTATATTATCGATGGTCTCAGCCGGAATCGTGGAATGTTATCGGCTAAAGTATGCTAATAAAGAATGCACTCATTGTGATGCTTCTAGCTCGTTAAGCATATTCTGGCAGGTACCTCAATATGCATTTGTTGGTGCCTCTGAAGTTTTCATGTACGTTGGTCAACTGGAGTTTTTCAATGCACAAGCGCCAGATGCCTTAAAAAGCTTCGGAAGTGCCCTTTGTATGACATCAATTTCGCTCGGGAATTATGTCAGTAGCTTCATCGTGACGATCGTTATGAAGATATCTACCGAAGACGATATGCCAGGATGGATTCCGGGAAATCTGAATCGGGGTCATCTAGACAGGTTTTTCTTCCTTCTCGCAGGATTAACTGCTGTTGATCTTGCGGTCTATGTTGTGTTTGCTAAATGGTACAAGAGTATCAAGTTCGAAGGGAAGAATGTAGAAGAGAACGACACTGATGATTATGAAGTCTAGAACATCTAAAATGATCGACGAAATTGGACAGTCTAATGATCCCAGTTATAAATAAATAAGACGTGGGATGGGGTTGCTGAAGGCGAAAACACTCTGTAAATGCTTTTATTCTTGAGAAAAAAGATTGCAGTTGGGTCAAGGCAGGGATGACCCTAGTTCCCATATTCACTTACATCTAATTGTCTCTTATGAATTCAAGATTAGGAGCCAAGGGAAGTCGATTCTATCGTTTTAAGGCGTTGAGTGTAGTTGCTTTTGGGTACATGAGCTCTCATCTTACGGTCATTGGTCTGTTCTGTTGTACAACAAGACACTGATTTAACATGTGTTTTGTGATTTCTGAGTTGATTTCTGTATCTTGTAACAAATTTATGAATATGTGAGCTCTGTTTCATCATATATCATCATGTTCTGGTTGAATTAAGATGCCATTAGAATTTAGAACCCATGCTAAAAGGGTAAGGAACTACATTATCCAATTATAAAACAGGCAAATCTAGACTAGATGCCCCTAGAACCCATGCTAAAATGAGGAACTACATTATCAAAAATCTATTAAAACAGGCAAATCTAGATTAGAAGATACCCAATGAAACAGTTATAGAAATTCTGCACATAGAGATGAATTCATAGATTGTACAATCTCCATTTAGGCAAGCCATTAAGCTACTGAAAGAGGGGTAGAGAAAGTTACCATATATGTAAGCATGGTCAACAGTTGATCATCGATTGGGCAGCACTCCATTTGAATAAGGGTAACATACTGCCCTTCCTTCACCAGATCTGTCAGAAGTTTGGAACATCTTCATACCGGTTCCATGGCTATAATGGAGTATTATTGTTCTTGGCGACACCTCGGCGTCGTGCTTACTTCCCTGCTCTCTGTAAATCTTTCACGGTAACAATTGCGGGAAATAATAGAGAATATGTCAGAAATTTTTTATCAAGTCGGAGGAACGAGAACCATCAGTTTTCAATGCCAAAATTCTCAAAACTTTTGGCTTATTAAATCACATAAATACAATGTATACGTTCTGATGGAATCAGCTGAAAGCACTGTTCCAAGACAGATGGCTACGTATAAATGCTACTTTTGATTCTTACCGTATACATTTGGCCATTTGGACCTTGATCAGAAGGTACCACCGCCTCATTTTGGTCGGAAAAATGAGTTGCAACATTCGGTGATTTGCCAGATTTGTCGGAAAGTGGGGAGCGAAGCTTCCTAGTGTTTCTTTCGGTTTAGTCCAGTTGATGGTATTGGTAGTGGTTCATCAAGCAATTGGAATAACAATTCTGGTCGCAATCGATTGAATGGCCCCCGCAGAAAAGGTAGCGTCAGTGACAATCGATTTGGTGGTGGAACCTAGCCATCACGATCACGGTAGTCGTGGTGGTCGATTTGGTACTTATGTGGCGACGGCCAGTGGTCTATTTGGTGCGTCGAGGACGACGATGAGGGAAAACGTTCTATGGCCTAACTCGAATTTTGAACATCCAAATTGCAGGTCGGTCATTGCCCTCTGTTGAATAACCGCGTGACCCGAATTTCACACCAGATCCGCGTGTTTATTGTTAGCGATACATTTTGATATTAAAAAATGATATGTTATTGTTGTTTATCCATAGTTGGTTATATAAATTTAAAAATAAAATTTTAATAAGTTATATCTATACATATTTTACTTGTGATTTTGAATTTGAAGTAATATGTATCAATAAATATTATTTTATGTATAAAAAATGATTTCTAAGAGTTTTTGTCAAATATTTTGTAATATAGTATAGATAAGAGTTGTAGGAAATATCATGCCAGAAGTTGAATATTTTTTGTGAGAAAGCAAGAAGTTTCAATATCATATATGATTACATTTTGTTATATGTTTAATCATATATGATTAATTGTTTATGTGTTGTCAATGCAACATATGATTGATCATATATGATTAAGTTTGTGTCTCATTCATGTAATCATATATAATATTGAAACTTCTCGTATTGCCATAAAATGATTAGCTTCTTGTTTAAACCTGACCCTAAAAGGTTAAGTTCTTAATCATATTTATGTTTTAACAAAAACCCCACATATCCACATTCGAAAATAACAACTCTTTTATACTAGATGTAACAGGGACGTAAATGGGTCTTTTGTTGCTGCTCGTACGTCTACTCTAATGGGGATTCCGCTTGTAAAGGAGCCTGAGGCCCTTGCCTTCTTAGAAGTTGTGTCATGGGCAATCGACCTTGGTATCACTGAGTTATCTTTGGGTCTGATGCCCAATAAGTTGTTGCCACTATCAATTCTCTCAGAGATGATGAAATGGAATTCGAAGATATTCTCTCGAGATGTCGCGTGTTGCTTCTTCAACATGATTCTTATTCGGTTTGTTTCACCAGATGACAAGGTAATAGAGTAACTAATGCATTTGCACAGGTAACTCAATTATCTTCTTGTCTCATCGCATACTTTGATACGTCAAGTTTTTTGACTCATTTTATAAACAATGTATGCCCTTTAAATGTTAATTAATATAAACTTCAGTTTGTTTTTAAAAAAAATTGTTTTTAACGTCTTTCAGTGTTTCTTTTAAAAAGGTGAAAAGATAGAGAAAGAAGATATATTTTTTAAAAAATTAAGAATTGTCAAAAATTTAAGAGGTTTTTGGGATTGATTATAAAAATAACTTATTGACTTATTCCAGTGTGACACAGGTAATAAGCACTTTCGAGTGTTTGGATAAACAACTTATACCAGTGCCAAACCGGTAATAAGAAGTTTTTGAAAAAGTTAAAACATTTCTGACTTATAATAAGTTGATAAGTGCTTTTATAGAAAAATATAAGTTGTTCCAAATAAACAATCCCAAACACCCTCTTAATGTGAAAAGATTTTTTTTATCTTGAATATATTATTATTATTTATAAGAAATTTCTACAATGTATTAAAAATTAATATTATAAAATATTTTAGAAATGTAATTAATAATAAAATTTATAAAATAAAACGTATGTTAGAATTAATTTTTTTTTTTAATATTTAACTTATAATTTAATATTTTAGAGAATTATAGTGAAGCCATCAAACTTGTAATCTTGAACTACATTGACTGATTGACTTGTCGTGTAATTGTCAATGTGGGCTGAATAGTAATGGCTGAAATTTGGCTATCAGGCCTAACTATTGGGGGTTGGGTTGGGTTTGGCATCATTTGGGCTCGGTTATTTTGCAACCGGTTAGCCCTTTTTTTATTGGTTTAAATGGTGTGATGTAGATGTATGGTTCTAAATAATTTGTTATAGTCTCGTTAAGGCGTGTTATAGCGTCTAGACTTGAGCTTGCCGCTGCGTTAACCTCTATGGCTCCAATCTAAGGCTTGTTTTGCAATTTGCACTATAACACGTTATGACACGTTACGACGTCTTATTTTGTAAGGTATGGAGCTACTTTGATATATAATTTGAACGATAAATGGTAATTATGTATGAGACCTATGATTTAAATAAACTTAAAAGGGGAACTTAAAAACTAAAACCATAACTCAATATTACAAGTAGATTATGCGTAAATACAACTTATTAAAGCTTCATATCTAAATTTGTGTAACTAACTGCAGATAAACATAATCAAATACATGATAAACATCTCGTTTTAAATGTAAAAAATCTAAAATATAATTAGAATAATCATTGAGTTCTAACAGAATACTTAATTGTTATTATCTTTATAAAATGTTATATTATTAAACCAAAAATAAGTTATTTCATAATTAAACTTAAATTAAATTAT